AGCTTCAGCTGTGCTGTGCTTCTGTGATTGAGTACCATTTTAACTCCTATGTAGACCTGAATAGTAGTCTCACAACTGCAATTAAGTGGTGCGTGTATGTCTTTCTCCACTTTCTACCAACAGGAGTAAATTAGGTATAAACTGCAGGACCTACAATAGCTACAGAATTTTTCTTGAGAAACTATATAGTTTCTCACCAACAAAAAACACAAAGTAAATTACTTATTTTTTTTCTGGCCAGCTTTATTTAATACATGGCTTTATTTTGCTGTGCACTGAAGAGGACAGAGCGCAGCTGTCCTCTCGTAAGTTTATCTGTCGTAAAGCTCATACAGAGATGATATAGCACAGAAGTTACGGTTGCTAATTTTAACTTACAGCTCTGGTGGTGAGAGGCTAGCTAAATCCTGTGCTGGTCTCAAGGAATGACCTGGGTTTTGTGAACAGGATTTTATCCTAACAAGGGAAATATCATTAAGATGTCACAGAAAATGTTGGGTTTATAGAACTACCTTGTTATAACTCTAAAAAAAATCTTTTTTGAAAATAAAATCCAAGTGAAATTAGACATGAAACATAATTCCTTATCGTTTAAGTATGATGCTAAATACTCAAATGTCTGGTAATGAAAATGTTCCCATAGTAGCCATAACCTCTCATTAGATTTCACAGGTGACTTCTCTGTAAGCTTTCAGTTTAGTCTAATATTTTGAATGCTGGTGGAAAGTAATTAAAAAAGCCTAAACTAGATGTGCAAGGTTAGTGAATCCATCACAATGCAAGATTTAATTAGTATTTTTTCTATGATAATTTATTAACTAATTTTACTTAGATTCATAAAATAAAACTTTAAACACAATGGAATGCATGTCACATTCACTCAATATAATGTAATAATGTAATAAGTAGAAGAACAATTCAGTCAGGGGTATTTACAGGGTTATGTACCACACTGAATTCCACTATAGCCTTTTTGAATTTTGGTACTGGCCTTCAGATTATCCTTCTGGACAAACTATCCAACTGTGAGATAAACTGGTTCACACTATGGTGGATAATGAAGTAGTTGAATGGCAGAGTTCAAAGTGTCTTGCAATCATAGAAACATAAAGTCATGGAGTCATAGGATTGTAGTGAACATGGCTACACTTGCTGGTGGCTGATCACTGGAAGTTTTTCCCCAGGCTCAGTTCTAGTGCCAGTCCTGTTCAACATTTTTATCAATGATCTGGATACTGGAGGAGTATGATACCTAACTGGGAGATGCTGTTGACTCTCCGGAGGGATGAGAGATCTTTCAGATGGATTTAGGTAGATTGGAGCATTGTACAATAAGCAACAGAACGATGTTCAACAAAGGAAAATGCAGGATACTGTACATGGGATGGAATAATGGCAGACACAGGCAGAGGCCAGGAGATGAGTGGCAGCTCAGCACAAAGGGACCTGGGGATGATGGTGACAGCAGCTCAGTGTGAGTCAGCACTGTGCCCTGGCAACCAAGAGGGCAGACAAGCTGCATTTTGGGGTGCATCAAGCACAGTTTAGCTGGCTGGTCGGAGAGGTTATTCTCTTGCTATTATTTAGTGTTGGTGCAATCTCACTTCAATATTGTGTGCAGTTCTGGGCTCTACAATATAACAAGGATGTTAAGGTCCATGAGAGGACAAAGCGGAGGGCACAAAAGCTGGTGACAAAGTCTCTCCTGTGAGGACAGGCTGAGGACACTTAGCCTGCCTAGTCTGGAGAAGATAAGGCTGAGTGGTGACTCCACTGCTCGCTGCAGCTCTCCGAGGAGGGAAAACAAAGGGAGGTATCAGGCTCAGGTCTTGGGAACCAACAATACAAAATGACAGAAAGTCGCAAAGCTGCGCCAGGGGAGGCTTGGATATTTCCTTACCATGGGGGTGATCAAATGCTGGAACAGGCTTCCTAGCAAAGTGGCTGATGCCTTGTGCTTGTCAGTGCTCAAGATGCATTTGCATAATGCTGTATCTTTCAGTTCTCTAAACTGGAGAACCAGCAGCAGTAAGAGATTCTAAAAAGGGCAGGAGAGGGAGAGGCAGGAAAGGGTGAAAGCTGGAAATCAGTACGAAGCTTTTTAGAGTTGCATGCATAGTGGAATAAATATACTTTGAGTTTTTATACACTCCTGGAAAATAAATAGGTTTAACTGGTCTTTTTGAATGTTTCTAATGATAAACTTGAAGGGCTGGGGAGGTATAGTGGAGTCAGCATCCCACCACACTGTCCCAGCCACAAATGAGGACAATAAGTAGATGCTTTCTGAATTAGAGAGATACAGGAATTTGTCTGATGATCCCTAATTCTGAAAATAAAACACATGCCTTCTGAGGATCTTTTGTTGTGTATTTATAAATTCTTTTTGGTTTTCAGTAGGCGGAAAATATGAGAAAAAAACTCTCCTCCAGCAGAACTGTCACCCCTTTAATAACACACTACTGAGAAAGAAGTACAGAAACATACAAAGAATTCTTTCTGAGGGAGTAGTTGTTAATTTTTAAAAGGAAAGGTGTGAGAAAAACCTTTGCATGGATTAAATTCATTGTGAATTTAGGCAATTCAGTGAAGCATAGAGAGCTCAGTGCTGAAAGGCATTGAACCTTAGGGCTCTGATAAAAAAAAGCATTTAAATACCTGCTAATGTCAAGGGCTTGAATTATCTTGTAGCAGGAAATGGAATTTTTCATATTCTTGAAGGTATGTATGTATATCTCAATGTCTTTCTGAGCTAGAACCTTACAACACTGCAGGCTTGAGTCCTGGAGAAGTAAGCAGGAGCAATGAGGAAGTAATTATAAATACAGGAACTAGACATCAATCATGAAGTTACAAAAAAAAAAAAAGGGGGGGGGGGGACAAGAGAGAGTTGGAGAGAATACAGAGTGTAGTTAGCAGTAAACTAATTTCTTAGTCATATAGTATGTTGTTACATTTGAAGGAGCTCTGATTGTAAGTTAGACACTGGTGTTAATTATGTTATTGAAAAGCAGAGTAACAATACTGAAATCATTGTGTGATTAATTGCTTGGTTTTGTAATCACATGCTGTACAGCCAGAGTAATTCCATAATGTCAGCTGACTCTAAGCCTTAGCGTATTCATGCAGTAGTATTGAGGTATGAAATGAAATGCCAGATATAATAAAAGAAAGCAGGCATGTAAATCTATTTAAGAAGGGGAACATATTTCTGGAAGGGAAGGAGGAGGGAAATTATGCAGCTATGCACTAAGTATTTGGAGTGAATACAAAGAAGTAGAAAATCACTTGTGATTTCCACTCAGAATAATGTAAGTCAAGCCCTGATGGATAATGTCTCTCATCTTTTGATCTTGATTATTCATGAGTTTCTCTAGGTGGACTACAGAAATGTGATATAGTATTGTGGGATGCTGTTCAAAACAAAAGAAAAGGGGATTGCTGAGTGCTGTAGTTGTTAGATTATTTTTATCTGCTTTTGTGTTTTGCTTTGTTTTGTTTTCTCCCGTGTCTCATATAAAATACTGCAATCTTCTTTGAATCATAGACCTGCACCATCAAAAACACTAGAGTGTTCCTATTGCTCCTGCATTCTTTATAATTTAAATTATCTTACTAGCTTGTAATTCTGAAAAACAATGGCAAGTGACTCTAAAATCTCCTTCCAACTTTGTCCTAGGAGTGGATTGTCATACCTGTAGATTTGGTCCAGGCAAAGACAGTAACTGACACTGGTGATTCTTGGGTAAACTGTAAGGATAAGCAAGGTTGATAAGACATTTAGATACTTAAAACTGTTTGGACTCTTTCAGAAATCCTAGCAGACACACAACTGCCACTGAAATCCCACTCTTCATTTTCATTTTGATGTTTAAACATCTTGAAAGTTTTCTCTTTCGTCTGATCCAAAGCGTGTTAAGCTCTGTAGATATTCCTGTGAGCTTTAGATATTGTCCTGAACTGAGATCACAACATTCATGTGATGTCAGCATAGCATCATTTCACAGCTGAATTTTTAAAATAGGGTTTTGGAACTGCAAATGCTTGTAAAGATTTAGCGACAACCACCTAATTCTTCACTTTCATATTCTGTTTAGGACGTCAAAGCAAAAATAATATCTGGTGCTAATACAGCCTTGATCTCACTTTCAGTTGCACAAAGCTCTGAGCGGTTCCTATTGATAGGCCACCAGATCGTTCTCTCTGCTGCTGCAGAGTGGTTCTTGCTGATAACTTCATAGCCTTCTTTTTCTTGCCAGCTTATGCAGTAAGAGATGTACTACTGAATCATGAACTTGCACTGAAGCAAGGCTAGGATAACAACTGACAGTAAGAAGTGCAGTGAAATCACTAACTATACGATAAAAATTAAAAAAAAGAGAAGAAAAAGAACAAAAAAACACCTTAAAGACTGTCAGTAGAGAACAATCTCTGTTATTTCAGGATTAATACTCTTTTGCAGGCTGGGGCTTCTCATAGCTGATATCTGCAGGCATGCTGTCAGTCAACTGTTGTGAAAATGTAAATTAGAGTTTCCAAAAAAATATTGATGCCCTTGGAATATTTTTATTTAAGAAAAAGAAAGTTTGCAGTTTGTATGGCAGTATTTTCCTAATACTACAAAATCTGATTTCTCATAATAAGCTTGTTGGAGCGTAATGGCAAAATAGCTCATTTAAACTTGCCTGCGGGGATTTGTGGTGCAGATAATCTGTAAGGATTATGTACATTTCATTACCTGAATTCTTAATCAAGCAGTGAATTAATTCTTGCCTAAGACATTTTTAGGTGTGAGAACATTGTCAGCTGAACTTATGTGTAGGAGCAGACTTTCAAGATGTGCACCAATCTAGTATAGTTCTTTTTACTCAAGCAAAATGCCACCACCATTTTATCCCAGCCAAGACTCCATGTCATGTTTTTCTAAATGCTAACTAATCAGTTTTTCTGTGTGTAAACCAGTACTTGTTTAATACTAGTTCTTTCCTGTTTTGCAATAGGGCCCCCACAGAGAACTGTTTCCCCCAAACAAGACCATGAGGAGAGGAAGCATGACAAAGTCTTGGACAAGGGAAGTGAAAGTGGGACTTCCTGTAACGAATTATCCACTTCGAGCTGCGACAGCCACTCAGATGCAAGCACTCCTCAAGAAAATGCCTCTGGCACTCAACAATCCACAGCCCACCAGCCAAACACTCTAACTTTGGATCGTCCATCTAAGAAGGCTCCTGTGCAGTGGATGCCACAACCAGACAAACGCAGGAACAGTGAACTATTTCAAACTCTCATTAGCAAGTCCAGAGAAACAAATCTTTCCAAAAAGAAGGTATGCGAGAAGCTGAGCGTTGAAGAAGAAATGAGAAAATGCATCCAAGATTTTAAAAAAATCCACATTCCAGATTACTTCCCAGAGCGCAAACGTCCTTGGCAGTCTGAACTCTTACAGAAATATGGGTTATAGTACTCAGCTCTTTCGTGACATATTTCTGGGACATTTGTTGTTTATTAAGTTGCCACTAACTTACTGATGTCCTTCTTCCGGCCAGTGCTGCCACCAGAGCTATTCCTGCTGCTTATTTCTTTTTGTGAACAGTGGATGTTGGATAGTACATCGTTTCTTTAAAATATATATATAAAAAGATAGAAACTTAAAAATACAAGAAGTGTCTCATCTTAAACCACCTCATGATAGCAAAGAAGAATGTGCATGGTGAAGAAAGATGGTTCTCAAACTGTAGTCATTTGAGCTTCATGATCATTTTGGAACTTGTCAAATAAAAATCTCAATCATCAGTTAATGCCTCGTTTTATGTCACAAATATAAATGGCTCAGACTTGCTATGGATGAAGAGAAACAGGGTTGAAAATTTGATCGAACTGGTTTCAGAACTAAATCCCAATATTTTTTCAATGTCAACGCAATAAAGCAAATACCTATTTTGCATGAGCACAATGTTACAAATAAATCACACAAGAACAAGAGTTGTCTGTTGCTTGGAGAATTATTTGTTTGACTCCAAGTCTGTAAGCGTAAAATGTCTAAGGGATTAAATTTGCTTTGTTCTGGGTCTGTGATTTCTCTGTGTGTAAAATGTTCTGTACGTAAGGATGGTGTAAATATGCCTTATACTGTTTTATTATTGCACCAACAACATTCATCTATTAGTGCTTGTCAGGATTATTTCTGTGAAATTCAAACTTATGGCAGATTTTGAAAACTGGTTTGATGGTCTGAAAGTTTCTGTTATGTTAGTTGCTAAAACTGGAGAAAAATAAAAGAGACCTTGATGTATTTATTGAAAGAACCATCTAGTAGATTTTCTTGGCTGTTGGTATCTCCTATCTCTTGTCAATTGTTATTTTTTGTTAATGTTTTCATACCACTTTGCTGGAAAAAAAAACAACAAAGTGAACCAAAAAAGTATATTTTTCAGGAGTGGGTGAACAATGTTTAGTGTAGTGCTATTTAATTGCAATCACCATGCAGACTCTCCAGAAGGAAGAGTGATATGCTAGGAAGCAGAGAGGATATGACCTAAAAACTAAGCATTTTCACAAACACAACTACTCTAGTCTAGTCTACTCTATTCTAATCAGTATCTGCAAAAAAAAAAAATAATAATAATAATTAAAAAAAATTATTATTGCTCATGTTTACTCACTATAAAAATTAATTTAGGCCATGATGGATGTTATATTTGCCTATTTTTACATTATTATTGTCCTAACTGAACAGATGGGGAATAGTGGTACATGCAATTGAGTTGGTACCTTTAAAATGTGTGAAAAAAGGTCATAATCACATGGTGGGCTAATTAATTATGAAGAATTATTTCTGAACTTTTCTTCCACCAACCTAAATTTACAAGAATTGGATTTGATTTTTCAGTTTATCTACTGAAAGAAAAATCTATGAAAAATATCAGATGAGCAAAAGTGTTTTGACAGAAATCACTAGTGTTCATAATAGTATCACTAAGCATATGATTTGAAATTAATTTGAAGTGTACTTCAGAATTCAGTTTGATGTCATTTTGTGTCCACCTTTAAAAATTGTGCTTGTGCAAAATCATTTGACTTTCTAATGCTGTCTTTACGGTTCCAGTAAAGATATTCAAAATTACACTTCCTTCTGGAGGTGGAAGACTCAATTTAGTATACTTGGTAACAAGAGGGCAATGTTAGGTTCACTCTACAAGTGAACCAAGATGCTTGGGAGTGCTCAGAAATTCTCAAGAAGTCTTTAGCTTTTAGCAGGATGACACCACTGGTGTGGCTGTAAAAATAGCATTCACACTTTACTTCAGCTTATATATTGCAGGCCATCAAATAGTTTTATTTTTTCCAGGCACTGTTACCTAGAAGCAATTTTCATCCCATTTCATATTTTTTTACTCTGCTTCTCTCTTCTCTCCATTGTTTTCTATGGATTTATTTCTATTATGTATTATGGATGTATTTCTATGGACTTTCTTACAATTACTTTTATTTAGGAAATTACGTATTCTTTACTTGAAGTCACATAACCAAATTTGAAAGGAACTACAGCAAGTTTTGTATGAGAAAGTGGTGAGGGAAACTGAGCACACCAGGGAATGTTGCTGGTTTGAAGAACCTTAAGCATTGCTGGCATAACATTTCTCATTTCTAGTGGGGATGAGAAATCCCTCCTAGACTGCTAGTTTGACCTGGCACAAGCTGGAAGGTTAAATCAGGGGCATCACTCTACATCTTTTTAGTGCTGTCTGATCATTAAATGAAGCAATAAAAAAATGCGTTATCCACACATAAGGAGTCCAATACTGTCAACATTCAGTTTACCATACATACATGCCTTGTGTTGGTACTGCAGCTGAGATGATCCAAGTTCATGTTGTACAAAGCAGATAAGAGCTACTACTCATGCAGTATGTCTCTTTGTGGAGGTACACCATCTACCGTAGGCTGTGGTGGGTATCTGCCTTCTCAGAGGCAAGCCCTTGATCATCTGAATTGGGACTGCTGGTTAATCCTGCTGGATCAGCACTATTTGCACTGAAGACAATTGTTCCATGGGACCATATCTTTGTGTGCAGCTCCAAAGCAGAAGATGGAGATCTCTGCTGCGCTGGCACATTCATCCATCTTTGAAGCTGACCTCACAGTGATGCACTGTGGATGCTGAGAAAATAGAGTGCAGATGGTGCCCAGAACAGAAATATAGCACTGACTGTGGTCCTATCTTTTTGGAGCCTGGCACCCTAGCATCCCTCAATTACATACACCATATTCTGTAAAATGGGCAAAAGAACAAATTGAGTACAGTGAGACTGTATATAATATACATATAATATATGTAAGAGAATAAGCATTTGAAAATTTTCTCCTGATAAGTTCTCCAGTTTTTGCTGGGCCATCTCTTTTCCTCAGATAGAAAAGAAAGGGAAAGAGAGTGAGAAACAATAATAAGCATGACAGAGGTAGTGGGAATATCTCAGTTTCTTGTTGTATTGCCTTTTAAAAATCATAGAATCATAAAATTGTTCAGGTTGGAAAAGAGCTTAAAGATCTTCAAGTCCAACTGCAATCTAACCATACTACCCTAACAACCCTCTGCTAAATCATGTCCCTGAGCACCACATCCAAATGGTTTTTAAACACATCCAGGTGACTCAACCACCTCCCTGGGGAGCCTATTCCAGTGCTTAACAACCCTTTCAGTAAAGAAGTTTTTCCTGATATCCAACCTAAACATACCCTGATGCTACTTAAGGCCATTTCCCCTTGTCCTGTCACCAGTGAGAAGAGACCAACCGTGGTCTTGCTGTAAGCGCCTTTCAGATATTGGAAGAGAGCAGTAAGGTTTTCCCTCAGCCTCCCCTTCCCCAGACTATACATCCCCAGTTCCTTCAGTTGCTCCTCTGTATATGTAGGGCATATTCTCCAAGGCCTTCACAAGCCTTGTTGCCCTGCTTTGGACCTGCTCCCACACATCAGTGTTCGTTCTGTATTGAGGTTCCCAAAGAAAATCCCATGCTTATTTAAAATGTTGCTTTATTCTATTACAGATAGAAGGTGTGTAGTAATACTTAATGAGTTTGGTTTAGAGATACTAGACTGTGTAATCTTTCATACATATACTGGATGAAGTTCTAATAATGAACGTAGTAAGCATTTTGATTTAAATACTGTGTAATTCTTAGGAAGAATTCACCCAATAATAAAGGACAGTAACAGGAAGAAAATTAAATTAACATAAAAATAAGGGAGGTCACAGTAGGCAATAAATAATCTTTCTAGATTCTGAAGCAACATTTAATTCTGAAATGCCATCACTTTATCTACTATCTGCTTATCATGCATGCAATTCATTAATTTAATATTGATCAATTCATAATGTGCCCAGCATCTCATGCTAAAATTCTGTCAGGCTGTTTAGTTCATAAATGTATATTGAGAATAGTAAATGTAAATTTTGATGGCAGGCCACACCTGTGGAATATTTCTCATCCCTACTAGATTGCTAGTTTGGCCTAGGATGAAGTGTAGGAACCATCAATCAGTGGCCAAAGTGCCTTTTTTTTTTTTTTCCTTCTGTTTTTGTTCCTATTTAGGTGAATTTTGAATTTCATTTGATGTTATTTATCTGTTGACTGTAGTATAAGATTCAATGCAGTACAGTACAGTCACTGGTACATTGGTCCTGAATTATTTTGATTTATACCTACCTTTGATTTAAATTACATTCGTAAGCTTCTGACAACAGCAATTGAGATGACTGCTGAGTGGTGAAAAAATTGCCATGCAGTCTGCCCTGGAGACCTTGCACAGGGAAATGGGTTTTTAAGAAGACAGTTTTAAAAATAATCCTCCATGCTGTTGTGGATGTGGAATGCAGCCTGTGATGCTTCTCTCTCCAGGCAGGGAGAGATGTGAAGCCTCTGGATTCCCTTCCCCAAGGAAAGCCTGGTTTCACCATTTCACGGAACTAAGCCTAGTCTTTGCAGAAGAAAATGTTGCTCTTTCACAGGTTTTATGATGCTGATCCAGAATGTCCTCCTGGTCCCTAAATAGAAAGAAATTTTGGCTCTTGTTTTTATGACCAGTCACTAAATTATGCAAATAGTTGTCCAGAATTTCCCTGGCAAGTATCTCTGCTGACACTGGGATTTATTCCATCTCTTTAAACGTGTCTTCTTACTTTCCTTGAACATCTTCCAATTGTTCAATACTTTTTTTGGGAGATAAGTACCCACAGATGCACAAATTCTTGTTTTGATTTGTAATGGATGGGCAGAGGCAGAAAAAAAAATATTTCATTCCTGCACCATAAAAGGTTGTTCACATTTATAAAATTCATTATTTTATGGTCACTTTTTTACTTTCTTTGTATTGCAGACTCATGTCTGGCCTGAAGTTTGGTTGGAATCACTTTCTTTCTCTCCTTTGTTTTTCTCTCCTTCTTTTCCTTTCTTTCTTTCT